AACAAAATCAATATTATTTATAGGATGTGATAGTGAGCCTAAAAAACATTTCTGGCTTTTTAAAAATAGATAAAGCTGCATTGATTTACAGAACGTGAGGCATTAGACTGCTCAGATACACAGAACTGCCATGTAAAAGATCTTGGTCAGAAACACCAATAAAACACCCATTCATCTAATTAGCCAAAGAGCACAGCAGAAGGTCAAGCAAGGTTAAAGTGCTCTGTCTCGTGTCTGATATTCCTGCAGGATGACAAGTTATTCCTTATGACCAGCTTTAATGATCGTCTCCAACAGACCAGGGGGGGCTCTGTGCCCATTCCCTCTGAAAGCAGACTTCCATGAGGAATGAAAGTTGAATTGGGATGCAGGCAGGAGTTACAAACTAAGATGTACATGACCCAAAGCTGCTGTGTGCAAGCTCTCCATACATACCAAGAGATACAGCAAAGATCCATCTAATAGGGAGAAAAGGCTAAAATTAAACTATGGTAGCTGCCACAGAAAAGAAGAATCCAGGATTTGGTTTCTATTCTAGCCAATGGTGAAGATTATATTTATTGAACCTGATAATTATTTCCTTCACAAGGACTGATATTAGCAAAACCGTCTCCAAATTAAAACATGAGTGTGTTTGATACTGGTTAAAATAGATAGACTTTGGATACTGTGACATAAAGGATGAAAATAATAAACGCAGATGAAGTGATGATAGAAACACAGCAGAAATTCAACCAAGGCCAAGTGCCAGAGTAAGGGAAAGTGAAGGAAAGAGGAAGCGAATAGAAAACATTCCTTGAGGGCAAAGATAAGGTTATAGGATGATACCACAGACAGAGTTATTATGAGGACAGTGCAAAAGAATATATAATAACAATAATTATATATAAAATAAATATATAATAATAATAATAATAATAATAATTTTGAAACGGGAAGAGCTTAAGTGTAAGTGGGGCTTTACCTTCTGAAGGAGGTAGTGGTCTGTCTGTGGAGAGGCTTTTCAGCACTGTTGCTATGCCATGGTCCCAACTCTGACATCCCGCCTTTCCCAAAAATCTCTTGTGCATTTTAATATATCACTTATGTCTCAAACACTTCAGGTTCTGGGTTCAAAGTATCTTCACATTAGATGACTGACCAAAACTAGAACTCAGTGAGTGTCTTTATAGAGCAGAGAAGAACAGAGTGATGACGAGAGGAGAAAACACTGACATGTTTGGGCTTGCTCCATGCCAACATGGGCACCTCTTATTCCCTGAAACACAGTTCAGTTAGGATATAAACCACTGTCACTATCTGCAAAACCTGAGCTCCCTCATTCACTAATTCCTATAGCTGCAGAATTAATGGGATTGATTGCAGCCAGCATTCGACTTGATTATATTTTAATTAAATACGTTCAGGTGTAGTAAAGATTTCCTACCCTCAGCTTTTCAGGTGACGAGAGATGATGAGGCTGATGGAGCTACCAACGCAGCCAACTTTTCAGTGGGGTTTTGACTGCAAGGGTTATCATTACAGGAACCTTTCGAGTTCCAGCACATATTTCACCAGCAGAAAGCAGAAAAGTACTATTGTGTTATGTATTCTGTTCAAGTTTCTCACTTGGAAATAGTTATGATTGTCATCCTTGGCCAGGTTTAAATTGACATTTTTATCACAACATTCCTGGCGTGGTACTGCAAGTTACTTGCGAGTAGTTATCAGCTGGCAAAAATACACGAAAGGAGGTTGGCTGATGAAAATTATATGCCAAGAGCTTTGCAGAGACAAGAAAATAACCAAAAGCAGCCAGAGGTAGCAAAGATGCTTCATAAAACATAATGTTTTCAGAGAAAGGAAACTTCTACATGCAAAGAGTCATAAATCACACATCTTTTAATGTTGGATCATCCAAAAGCTAATAATTAAAAAGGGGAGGGTGAGATTGGTCAGGTTTCACAGCAGAGTGCACTCCCTGAGCATGCTCAAATCCACACTTATGAGATTAATTTATAAGCTCTTCAACTTTTGAATCTCCGGGGCTGATGCTGCCTGTGCATTGTTTGCATAATGCAGTTTTATACCACTAAAGCACTACCTATAAAGGGATTATTTTCATATTCAGCGCATTAAAGATACAGCACAATTCACAGATCCTGCACTGTGTTTACGCCTGAGATAGCAGGTAAAGTGTCTCTCGTCCTGATTATCCATGCAGCAAACGCAGGAACGTGGATGTTTTGGGAGCGAGTGTCCCCTAAGCGAAATTAATTCCCCAATGGTTTTATTAAAGTCTGCAAATTGCATTATTTTCCCATCATATTTGAAATATTGCACGTCCTTAATGCTGGCTCTAACCCATGGCATGCCATCTTCCCTGGGGTGTCTAGACATGGTGCCTTAGATTTATGTGTATGATCTCAGTGTGTTACAACATCACTCCTGACTAATGCATTATTACAATACTTACATATATTCCCAAGCGTCACTGTATTGATTAGAAAATCACCAATCTGCATATGCACACCATCTGTGCTTCAGAGAAGCAAAACACGCAGGATAACGTTCGCCTTACTCAAAGGGAAATTCAGATACTACTAAAAGAACAAATGGGAATCGTGTTTTATGTTTTGTTTTGTGAAATAACAAAGAAAATGAATCGTGTTTCTGCCAAACAGCAGCCCATGCCCCTGATGGTTTAAAACACAAGCCTTTTCCTCTCTACACAGCAAGGAGATTTACCTTCAGTAACAACATGCAAACAATCTGCCCTTTTACAGATAGCAAATAACATGGAAGGGGAGCACACTGCTGCAATGAGGTTAAAAAGCCTCAGCTCAGATGCAAGCTTTCTGAGCAGAAGGGTTTGTAGTCAGCAGCAAGTCCTTTCTCAGCTGAAAGCTGCAAGAGCGGTTGTAAAAGATGAATGAGGCGCTTGCTTACTGGGGTGAAATGCTTTTAAAGGACAAGAATCTGCTTATCTTTGATTGATTGCTCAGCCTGATACTTTCCTTTATAAAGTTTATTGACTACAAGCCCATAAATCAAACAAAAACAAATCACGGGTTCAATTTTGGGGGCACTGACATCCTGCCATCTTGCAGCAATAGCTTAGAAGTCACAGGGCAGGGAAGAGGAGGATTACGGGGGATCACGGAGACAAAAGCACCTATTTCAGGTAAATTACTCCTTCAAATGTTTGTAAATGATTATTCATTTGTGCCCTATAAAATCTCTTAAGCCAAGAGGAAAAGGCAGGCAACCAAGCAACCCAAAGAAAGAAAGGTCCTTAAATGAGGAATCCACAATGAACAGACGTACTTTTCATCGTGATGCTGTGTGTCTCTCCAGTGCCTGCGAGATCACGGTTACATTCCCACACATCCTGTACCCTCTGTACGGATGTTCCATTTACAATTTAAACTGTCAAAGCAAGAATCAGTTTTCTTTCAGGGGGATTTGAGGGCTTGGGAAGCTCAAAATCTCTATTCTGAAACACCCCATTGAGTTGCATGTAAGGAAAGCACTAGCCATAGATCTTGCTCATGTGGGGCATACGGTATAATATGACAGCATGATAATACAGATTAATTTGTGCTGTTGACCTTGACGCACTACTCTATTGTGTCTTCTTTTAAAGTCAGCACTTGGGTCAGTAGAACATCTGGTGTTTAACAAGAAAAATCCCATTCTGAAGCGCTAAATGTGTTGAAACAAATGGTACTGTACTACCATTATACAGCACAACCTCCCTGCTAGGGGTGTCGTTTCAAGGCCACTCTGCCTGAACTACATTATTCTTAGTGGTTTGATAATTCACATCTTGCCACAGTACACAAAATACCTAATTATCAAAAGCAGCCTTTGAAAAGCTGGACTGTGCTCCATGTAACCGGGACTGACTGTGGCTTGTCTTGCAGTTTGTCTTTGGAGACATCTGCACACTGCTGAATGTCCTGGCCTTAACCCAGCAGAGCACTTTAACATGCACATGTATTTATACACACAAATAGCCCCTCCCTCATTTTAACAGGCCATGCTTTGAAGTTATGTGCATGTACGCATTGCTGAACGTATAAACGGGGGTCACCACATCAATTGTACAGCACTCAGGGTTGTGTGCTCCCCATCTTACACCCTGTTATTTTCAGCTTGTCCTCAAATCTACTGCTCAGTGTAGGGAAAGGCTGATGCAGCCTTTTAGGAGGAGACTGAAGATCAGGGAGATGACTGGTAGCAAAGAGTAAGCAGCTTTGTTTCATAGTGTTTAATATGAAAAAGAAACAGAAAAAGGTGATGGCTCTGTACTGGAGGGTATCCCAGCACCTTTCCAGTCCCCTAACAGGACTGCTATCCCCACACTTCTATCACTGTTTCTCAGCAGAGGTTCTCCATGTAACCAAACACACAAGGTCTCCCTGCAGCATTCCAGGGAATCCCACAAACCCTCTGAAGAGAGGAGAAACAGTCTCCAGTGGTCCGATGACCTGAAGCAGATCTCACCAGGTCTGTCAGCATGTCAGCTTAGAACGGAGGCACAGCACCCAAGCCGGGGCTTTCCAACCATGTTGTGTTTGTGCTCTCAAATCACAGTGGGCTGATTCTTCACTGCTTCACAAATCCAGTGGTCATTTACTCCAGGGCAAACCAAGTATGAATTGTTGCTATTCTACTTTTTCACCTGATTTGCCCTCACTCTGCTCACACAGGCAGAAAGGAATTAGCCCTGAGAAATGCACCAGTAGCTGAGTAGCATGTACATGACATATTAACCTTTTCTTTATATATATATATAAGGTGGAAAAAATCCCCAGCTGGAAAATTCGTATAGGCATGTATGAACTAAAATGTGCCCGAGAAGGGACCAGTACCTCCAACCAGTTGAGAAAAAGGAACAGTGCTAAGATGAGCATGCAGATGTATTTACAAAGAGCAAGGGATGCACATGCTGAGCCAAGCAAAGAAGGGGCAACAGGAAGAGGCATGAGGTCATTCAGCCCAGAAAATGCCTTTGACTCCCAGCAGGGCTGGAGGAGGAGGAGGAGGTGGTTGCTGTGCTGTGACTTGGCCCAAGGTGAAGTCATTAGCGGTTGTTTTAAATGAGGTTTCTGCCATGAGGTCCCAGCTGATCTCCATGAGAAGTTTATATGTGGTTACTGAAAAGAGGAAAAGAGACTGACACCGCTGAATGAGAAGACAGCATCGAGCAATCAGCTGCCAAAGAACTAATCTCATTAACTCCTCCTGAGATTGCAGCCGTCAGTCTGCAGCCGGTAGCCAGTGGAGGACTGAGCACAATGAAACATCTTTTAAACCTTATTTTGCTCAGGCCCTCTTCCTGATCTTTTCTACATGTTTGTTCTGCAGCTCCTTAGAAGTTACAGCTGCTGAAGGAAGAAGTGAAAATCCCCCCAGGAAAAAAAACTGGGAACCTGCTCTCCTATGCAGCTTCATGCCGCTGGGTCAGTGATTAACAAAGCCAAGGTCCTACTGCAGGGAAGCTAAATGGAGTTCATTATGGACATGAAAGTTAGCAGGGCCAGAAAGGTGAGACTATAGGAAAGAGGATGAAATAAGAGCCTAACAAGTGTGGATTTTACTTCCTCGATGCAATAAGGACAGCTTTTAACTACCAACTCCTCTAAAAATACATATATAGATAATAGTGCCTTTAAGAGAGGTACTGTCCTATATACTATACTGGTTTCTATATAGTGTCTGGAATATTAAAGTTATAATGCATTACTTAAAAAACTCAGTGTTGTGCTGCAATGAGTAATCTTTGTCTTGCACACTGAGTATTTGGTTTTTCACTTTTTCCTGGAAAAAAATAGGAAAATGGAAAGAAAGAAGAACAGCATTGAAGTGGAGTAATGTTCCTAAACTTGGATTGAGATATTTACCCCAAACCCCCACTAAACCACAAATTTGAGTGCCCTGGGGATGATAAAAGAGGATTTGCTTGGCCCTGAAGTCTGCAAGCAATAGCCTGTGTCTCACTTGCAGATGATATCTGGCCACACACTGCAGCAGTGCACACATGAAGAGGGTCAGCTTTTACAGTGTGTCCTATTTTCTCCCCCAAATTGACAGTGAGCAATGGCTCTTTCAGGAATGCTTCTGATTAGGCCATTTCCACTTACCTGATTTCACACTGGCATTATCCCTCTGTTCCTGTCATTTGTTAAGAGAACCTGAAGTTTTCTGCTACAGCTGCCAATGTCCTGTATCACCAAAGAGCCCAGGTTGCTCCATCACAATCCTCCCAAGGTGATGCTCAAGTAGGTGTCAATCCATTGGTGACCATGGCCCATGTAGAAGTTGCTTAGAAATAAAGCTTACCTGCAAAAGGTGTATGTGATGGTGAGGCTAGAAAACCAAGTACTTTTGAAAGCAACTTATTTGATTAGCCTAGAAAATTCAGGCACAAAGGAGTTATGAGAAGTAGCAAACAGAAGACCCAATGAAGCTTCAGCCCATAAGAAATCAAAGGCTCCTGAGAAGGAGTGGGTAGGCAAATACCTTTATCAGCACATATATCCAGTAGCTTCAACATGTAAATAGATGTTTTCAGGGAAACTAGAGGATGAAACGTGACTTGATGTGCCTGATTCCTGACACCCAGAAAACTGCATAGAAAAAGGAGAGTGGAAAGCAGCTGTGGAATTGAAAATGCATTACTTGGTCCCTGTAAGTAAGCCTCAAGGATCTCTGTGCAGATTAGCTCTGTCAATAATTTTAACCATATATAGTATGCTAACATCTTTCACTTTATTCCTTTTGTGGCCAATATTTTAGTGTTACGTAAGTTATTTTTCTGAATTAATAACCACAGTTGCACCAGTCTGGGGGGAAGGGGACTTCAGACCTTTTATGAGATACCATTTAGGAGATGATTTGTTGTCTAAGCAACCCTTAGAATAGGCAGGAAGAATCAGATGTTAGAGTAAATTAATGTGGCATTAACTTGCTTCCAACAGCTTGTTAATGGAAGTGAATTTAAAGAACAGCACATCCTAGAAGGGGGAAACTATTCCTGTTTGCACTGTTGCGCAAAACCAACCCCAGAATAAAGCCAGAGGATGGACACAAAGAGCTACTTACCATGAACATCCCCGAACAACTGCAGTCTCAGCAGAGAAAACAGGGAGGGAACAATGTAAGTCCAAATAAACTGGGCAAGAAAATGGACAAAAATACTAACTTTGATCACTTTTTAAAAGAAGAATTTTGATGAAACTCCCTCAAACCTTACAGCCATGTTGTTCTTCAGAAGGTAAAGGGCAGTTTAAAATGGGTTCTGTGACAGAAAATCGAGTATTAAGGTGAAAATCTGCCTTGCAATAGCAAAAAATACGCCCTAATAATACCAAAATAATAGCAAAACCCACCATAGTGAATGGCAATCAGTGTAAGAACATTGCTAAACCATGTAAGGTCCTAAAAATACCATGCTTTTAACTTTGTTCCCACTGTAACCCATCCTCAGACTCGAAGAGAAAATAAAGAACAGAGTTTGTTATTTTGCTCAGATAATAACAGTTATAAAACCAGATTAACTGTCAGTATCATGAATTAATATCACCGAAGTAGAGAGGCTCAAATAACAGGCTTGGGCCATAAGCAAAGCAGCAAGCTTACGCTTTGACCTGCAACAGGATAGCCGCATCGCTCGGGTGGAAAAATGCTGACATAAAATGGAATAGCTGTTTAATAATTCTGTGTGCTTTTACAATCATCCACATTTTGTTTTGTTCTACACACAGAGGCAGCGTTTGATGTTAAAACATAACACCCTCGCTACAAAAGCTGACGCTCATGTTCAAAATCTACAGCTTTTAGTTCATGCTTTCAATTCCCCTCTTTTTTCTCCTCCTTTCTGACGGTATAAATGATAACACGGTTTCAAGTCACTGCTCCTTCCCTGGAGTTGAGCAGAATTGAAAAGATCAAAGTTAGTGCAATCTTGTTCAAAGGTGAAGAGGTGAGATCTGATGTGTGCCGGAGGATCAGAGCAAAAAGAAACACACAATGCTTAGTGCGCGACACCTGAAGCCCACTTTCATCGAGGTACCTCATTTTCATCTCAATGCATTTGATGGTAAAATATGGAAGAGCACAGGATTAGTTTGATTACAAAGAGAAGAAACCCAATACTGAAAAGTAAACATCAGTAAAAGGTGAAAATGATCACATTTTTGCAGTTCATCACGTTAAATTCTATATTCCTTACTTAAGCAGCATTTACATAATCAAGATGAAGCCATTACACCCATGAAGTTCCAAGTATTGTAATGCTGTTGATAGTCAAAGAGTTCCTTGAAAATCACACTTGTGTTTTCAAGGGGGCTGCAGACAGGGTCATCTAAAAGGGTGGGGGTTTTCTTCCCATAAAATGGTCGTGTAACTGATGTGCCCTGACATAATGCATCACGATGAAACACAGCTGCCAAAAAAGAACTTCAAATGATGCCCTTTTTCTGGAGAGGGAAAAAAAAGAAGTGATAAGAAAATAGGTACCTTTTCAGCAAAAGCTTTTAAAGGTTTAAAAGCACAGCAACCACTAAAAGGTTCTCAGGTAAGGCTTCTTCCCTCAATTTTGTCTAAGTACCTAGAAGCTAAATGGGGGAAAAAGGGTATGGAAAATAATGCTCCAGCCTCTGTGAGAACTAGAGACATCCTAACCCCAAGAAACCATGACAATGGAAGAAAAGATTTTAATGTCCTACCACGGCATTTTCAAGCACACAAGAAGATCCATTTCCTAATTACTGGGAATTGTGCTACATTACACTAATAATGCTGATCTGAGAATGCTTTGGCAGAAACCTGAACTTCAACTTGGCAAAGTAGTCACAAACATGCATGCATTCAGGAATTGAACAGAGATCCACATTGTAATTTTCCCTTCCTGAATATGTAGTTTCTTTTGCATACATCCTAGGGCTGTTGCTATAGGACCCTCCTAAAATTCCAACCTGGACTTCCCTGCCTAAAAGCAGTATTATTGTATAAATGGTCTATTACAGGCCAAACCTTGACCTGCAAATCAGGTCTGATCAATAGTACTATAAAAGACACATATACAGCCCTCCTAGGAGCAATCCTACACAGCTACCTGCCAAAGCCTATTTCTCAAGGATTCACTCAGCACATCCACACCCAGATTCCCACTTCTGTTTCCCTTCAAGTCTCAACCCTGCCAGAAAATCTGCTAAGGTGGTTTTGCCTTCCAGTGGTAGCTCCAGAAAACAGCACATGGAGATGCTGAGGTTTGCAGGCTGGGGTTCAGGGACAGGACGGAGACAAAGACGACAAGACACCCAAAGGAGAGATTAAGAAAGCACACGCAGAGCAGCTACCTCCAGCATAACGTATGTGCACGATTAGACTGGATGCAACTGAATCTTTCATCAAATTATTACCTTATCCTAGGTCAAAAATGATGTTCAACCTTCAATACTTTGTGGACTGTCAACTGACACACGTTTCTACTAGTTTTTCTCTTGGCTACAGAAACATCTAAGTCCATCTATCACAAAGCATAACCTAAAACACACGTAAGCAGGTCCCAAAGGGGTGACATAATCTGCTGGTTCACACATGTTAGCACAGGGCTTAGAGGAGAGAAATCAAGTCCTCGTCACGCCCTCTTTATATGCATTTCAGGTCACCATTTCTTATTTTACCTTAGGAGTACAGAAAGAATTGATCTATTGTTCTATGTCCATTGCCAGTCTCCTGAGCAGATAAAAGTGCTGTACATAGACTAAATCTCTTCCCAACAGGGAATCTCTTTGTCTTTCATAAGAAACGTTGCATTGGCATAAAATATCTATGGATCAGTCACGTTGTGCAGCACAAAGCGGCTGACTTGCAAGCAGAGGTTGTACTGACCGCGTGTCATGATGCTTGAGTTCACTCTTGCATTTGGGTAGCAGCAGACAGTCGTGCTTGCTGCTTTGAAAGGGGTGACCAGCTGGGATTTCAGGCTTCTTCTGAAGAGCTCTGCAGAACTGGCTCCAGGCATTTCTTTAACCAAACATTTCTGCAGTACTCAGAGGCTCTCAGCAAACCTAAGCTCCCCTCTACACTAGTGTTTTACATACATCATGCATAATGTACTGTGAGCATAAAGAAGGCATTTAGTCACTGAAGACTCCACCAGCAGCGCAGTGTTTTGAGGTTTGGCTTCTCTTTCCTTTCCAGTTTTAATGAACTGTCCCATTTGCACAACTGCAAACAGGCAGTCGCTATTCTGGTACCCATGACAAAGTCTTGCAAGGTGGGAGAATAGGCCATATGTACCTCACTGTTATTGTTCCTTTCTGTATTTGTATTTGTTCTGGGCTGATCATACCATGAGGGGCTGTGCCCATGAATCCCAACTGGCTGAGCAGTGCTATTTCATGGCAGGGCAAGTCCAGCAGTAGGGAATTCAGGCAACATAGTGATTTCAGTTTCACTGCACTGCTCTGCTTCTTGGGAGCCTGCAGGAGATGGGGGCCTGTGTCGCCATCATAAATCCAGGCACATACAATGCTGGAACTTCTTACATGGCTTTAAGTCTCCAAGAAATGTCAGCCTAATAAATATGGGATCGTATTTGCTATTTGGGAAAAGATATTAATTAAGCAGGAAAAGTTAATAAAAAAAGACATTCCCCAAAATGATGCAACAGGAAAAAAAACATTACTTTTTTCTTATTCATGGCTCTATGAATGCAAAATGCCATGGATTCTTCATCTTTAATACCTAAGGGATTTATAAGCATATTGCATCCATAAAGCTTGCTTCATCAGTACAGTACACAGCCCAGATATGCATATTTAATTACTCTGAAAGTAATTTACTTGTACAGATGGTGGTATTAGAAGGTCTTACTTGATTGAAATTACTTCTATTTGAAAAAGAATGTTATTTTGCTATGAAACTTGAGTGAAGAATTCACTCTCATTACAGGTGAAAAATACTTGACAACTGTAATTCATTGGTGACTAATCTAATACTTCCTCAAGAAAGCTCTTGCTTCAGATCTTACAAATCAGAGCATCCTCTTTGAGGTAGATCTACTAGCATTTCATATCCAAACCTGCTTACCGTAAGGGACCCCGACATGTTCTTGGGGTAAGGGAATAAGAACCCACAGATTTGTTCAGCATCCCCAATACTTCCCAAGCAAAGAGACACTGCATCTTCCTATAAGATTAAGGGGGATTGAAGTAAAAAGGTGCATTTCAGGACAACACCTGCCAGGCATAAGATTTCAGGAAAGCAGTGACTTGATGTTCATGTGGGGAGTTTGGGACAAGCTCTAACAGCTTGCACCATTAAATAACACCCGGCTCCAACCACTTAGATACCTGCAGCTTCCAGGAGCAAACATGCAACAGGGGCAGGGAAAGCTGGCAGCATCCTGCATTATCTCTTACACCCTTCCCAGGAAAACATGACTTCTTCAAGGTGATTGTTTGCTTGGACTGCACCATAAAGCTTTACATGTGTTTGTTAAGACTTTCTCCAGCCAACATCTGTCTTTATTAAAGCAATGGCTATCTCAGAGGTGGCTGCCCTGGTTGCTATGGAAAGAATTCACCTTTTACTGAAGACTAAATGGCCACAACCCACATAAAGGGTCCTGAGTGGCCCTAAGATGTGTCCTGCCTTCCCCTTTCCCACTTGTCTCCTCCAGACAACTTGTTGACAGCCAATCTGATTTTCAAGGCCTACCTGGAATAAAGTGCTTTGTCCCTTCTATGTCACTTTAACCTTGTGGTCTGGATTTAATATAACAAACAAACCCCTGTGGACCTGATTCAGAGGGCTGGAAAGCATGTATATGTCTGCAGAAGGTGGAGGTGATGGGTGAGCTGCACCTCTCTAAGACTGCTAGCACCACACACCTTTGTCACACTAAAATCAGGAGGGCAGAATAAAAACACAGTGGCTGGATTTGCAACACCATGGCAGGGAGTTGGAACTGGATGATCTTAAGGTCTTTTTCAACCCAAACCATTCTATGGTTGTACATATGAAGGGCTGTACAATCCAAGCTAGGTCTTAGTGTGTGTAAACATTTCACCCAGGCAGAGCAACCTGGGTGCCAGTGGAAAGAAGGACTGGACATGTCCTCCCCTTAGCAAATCTGCTCCTGCTATAGCAAAGGAACTGTGG